TTATTGTGTCATATAGAAGGCTTCATGGAATGGTAATAGCACCCTCTATAGTGGTCAGGATTTTACAGCGGAGCCTCTGATGCAACAAACACAATGGAAATTCCTCCTACCAGGATTGCCAGGAGAAACCAATCAATGTCATCAAGTTAGCTGTCAATTTTATTCCAGTGTTAACCCTGAGGTTGCCGGGTTATTTTGTACCATCTCACATCCGAGATCTTGGCCGTCCCAAGCCCAATCTTTTTCAACACTCGGCGTGCATGTAAAACACTCCTTATCAATACAGATGTGAAGTTTCGAATCAATCTGACATACAACTTATAGTAGCAGGCCTACATGATCATGGACGTAGGCCTATTGAAAGGTAGACCTGTAAACAGGGCCTAATGTATACTCCTGTCATAAACTGGGCCCTCTCCTGATTCATAGGGATTTCTTTTGAAAAACTTCATCCAGGATATCCGAGGGCATAACTAAACATCCACTTGAGTTTATGAGCTGAAATTGCACCGGTATATGCTCACTGCGTAGGGGGTAAACTATCCCCTAGGTTCCTAATTGCAGAAAACTCACCTTTTCCTTGTTTGGAGGAAAACATGTTACCTTTTTGTTGTCGTTTTTCCACTTGCACAAATTTGCCTCACTTGCACAAAATTGACGGCTTTTTTGTCACTATTGTGTCACGTCACAGAGTGCAAGGCGTGCTACAAATGATTTGCCGAAAGCCGTTTATGACTGGACAGGGAACCAGGCAAGGGTGTTGCGTATTAGCTGCACATCATCAGTATAGGACTACATGTATATGTGTACAGTAAATATTGTGGACATGTATGTTGCAATGTTAGAATTCTGGATATACTTATATGCCAAAGTTTGTCAAGCTGACAAGAAAGACAGAAATTTTGCCTTCTCATCTGTGGTAATTAATGATGCATCCAAGTGCCTGGCCTTCCCAAATTACAAGGCCAGGCATCTCATGAACATGTTAGTAAATTTACGTGAACAGTACGTACAATTTCAGAATTCTCAAAATACATGCACGTGTACATGCACTTCAATACAGCGGGTATGCTAAAGTGTGTCGAAACTAGTTTGGAAGATTTTTATTCATGCTGCGACCAGGTGCCTGCCTTCCAGAATTGACGAGACCAAGCTGATTTGGGATCAAGTTGACCTGAGACGGAGTTGACTCGGAGCGAGTTGATTCCAGACCAAGTTGTGACTTCACACTGACATGACTGATGAGTATACAGTGTGTATACATTGCCATGTTTCGCTGGACCATATCCGAATCTTTAAAAAGGCAATTCGCAGAGTCTAAGTTGCTCAGACTATTATTAACTGATCTGCATCACCCTAATGCAGTCGTGTCAAATATCATTTCAAAAATTCAAATATGCACAGCATGCGAAAGTGACTAAGTTGGGCTAATGTAGCTAGCACTCAGAAAAATTGATTTTTGACCTTGTTGGGCTTATATCATATGGGACGGCCTAGTATTACAGCTGCACGTGAGCACCTCATCACACCCAACAACTCGCTTGGGAGGGATAAACAATTTGCAAGATGTGTGCAAAGGAAGTGGGCATATATATAGGCCAACTGAAGTTACTCATGTCATTTTTGCAGAAATGGGCCATGCACATATGTACTGCAGGCAGTGAGTGTAGGCATGCCAAGAGTTGATCCTAGTCCTACTCCTAGGAGGATTAATCCCAACATGGTCTTTTCCTTTCTCCGTGGTCTCATTCTTACGTACATCAGGACTGAGACTACAATCATAAAACTATAAAGATGGAAAATTACAAAAAAACCACAGTACAATTCTGGTAACACCCCTGTGGGATTGCCAAGAAGCAAACTTTAATACTCACTCGTGAGGCCCTCCTAAGATGCTATCAGACCAAAATAAATATGGACTTTAACGGGACAGGACACTGATTATCAGCTGCTTATAAAAATAATTAATATCGAAAATAAAAAAATAACTAATAGTAATACAGGTATTAATAAACTTATTCCTCATTTAGTAGGATACATGTACATAGTACACTTCACTAATTACACAAAAATTCACAAATTACATACAATAAAATTCTAAAAACTCTAAAAACTTCCGCGTGTAAAATCTCAAGGTCAAATTAAGATGATCCAAAATCAACCCCCAAGGACGTGTACAAAACGACTTGCCTATGAATTTTATTCCTGTATAACTTAACTGTGGAATAACAAAAGCAAATTACATATACATGTACATTATTGTACTTACGTGTTGGCCTATAAAATAAGGCCTACTCCATGTCACCATGATATCACGTGACGTAGGTTGCCAGCAATTCCTCAGGGACTAATAATTTCTTACGTGTTGTCTTGATGATACATTTAAAATTGCGAAAACAAACGGGTCCGTGATTAAAGCGACTACCATGTGCTCAGTCCGACCACGGACCATTTACAACCCCGACCGTCACTCAACGAGCACATGTACTTCTGACGTGCCACCCCACCGCACACACGTGTTGTTTGCATATGGTGTGTCTGTCCGTAGTCGGTCCGCCATAGTACTCAGCAACGAATGCTCGGCAGAGCACCGATTTTATATGATATTCTGGACAACAGAGGGCGTGCTTTTTGGGGTACTCGCCGCATAGACGCGCCATGAGGCGCGCAAGTATTGCGCGTTGACGCGGAGCACGCTGAGTACGTGTAACTAATTTATTCCGGCATGATATGGTCTTTGCGTACACGCAGAAAGCGTGCAAGAACTCGCTTGTAACCGCCTGTCTTTCTTTCGCTGATTGGGGGTACACTTCAGCTCGCGGCAGATGGCATAACCTACCAATGGAACCTCCGTTGCTCTCTCTTGGTCAATTAAGCTCGAGGCCCATATTATTGGCGAACCATTTAAATGTTGAGAGCCAAAGCGGTACCCGCAACCACACTCCACCTAAGGCAATACCCGCGCGTATTTTTGCTTGAACAAGCTCCTCGTATCACATCATAAATATTTGTAGACGTTGAACTGGGCCTGATATTCTGTGCCCCAGCCTCGGGAAATATGCAACCTCAGTGTACCCAAACATTCCAATCGCCGTGTTCAAGCAAAATAATCACAACTTCATCCTCTCGTATCACGAATGCATGCCAAATTTCAAAGCAAATACCGCCATCCACACTGATTAATCGAGAGGCGGCCTCTCCACTCGAGTGGCACTTGAGATTTGATCTTCGAAACGGAGTGATCCCGACTTGAAAAAAAAAATTAATGTAGAAGTAGTGACAAGGTTTCACCGAGGCATTAGTGACAAGATAATGACTGTTGATAGATAACCTCGTGATCGTCATCCTCCATCTAAATTGTGAAGTTTAATAATCGAAGATACAAATGCCATTCTATCCAGCCACAGACTGACTACAAAAGGCAGATTCTTGGGACAATAAATAATGATACTTCCGTCTTTTCGTGGATTTGAGGTCTTGTCCAATTTAATTAAACACTGGGATCAAGACATAAATTAGGCGACATTTATAGATTCACTCAGTCTCAAATAATAGTTTTGTGTTCTTCAACGAGGTTACAAAAAAGGGCAACTGTGCTGTCACAACAGAAACTCCGAGAAACAAAATGCTTTCATTACATGTCTCATGCCGACCCACCGCAGAGTACATCAAAAAGCTCTTTCCAATCGACTTCCAGAACCCCATCAAGCTCCTTTGAAGGCAAACATTTCAACCCTTGAAAATCACTGTAGATACAACTCACAAAGGAACCATGGGCCTTGAGGCGTCAACCTGTCAGGCCCAAATCCAGGCTAAATAATCATACGCTGGGACTGGATACATGTACATCATCGATAATGTAATTAAACGTGATCTAATAATAGATCAGTTCTGCTACAAATTTTCGAAAAATAAGGGATTAAGTGGTATCGTCAAGTGTACAGAGGAATTGTTATTTTTAGTATCGAGCACACCGCGTTCATACGCAGTGCACGCTCTCCAATTCTCGTCGACGAAGTTGCCTTGGCAACCACGAATGCGTGACACAAACAACCGGAAATGCTCGCTTTTGGGACTTAATGCACTCAGAAATATAAAACAAACACTCGGAAATCGCCGTGTTTTGTTTTAGTGATCGGGCTGAGCCTGAAAGTTATTTTCGGGAGAATTCCAATTTCCCCTTTGGACTCTGTTATTCAATACACGTCAGAGATGGACCACGGTCCAACCAGCTTTCCCGATGACCGGCGAAAAAATTAGTCTTCAAATCTGAAGCCCATTATGTGACCTCGCATTGGTAACCGAACGAACACAAAGCTCTAGTATTGAACATTACCATCAGCCTGCTTTCCCCACAAAATGGGAAACAGCGTTCTTTTCTTCTTTTTTTTTGGTTTGGAATCTCCATCTGCGTAAAATAGACCCTCATGTTTGAAAACACATCACAAATCACAGGACACTTAACAAGGAATATAAATGTGTCATGTTTGCCAAGAGCAGGTTTATTCCAAGAGATCAGAGACATGCTCCATTTACAAACATGCGGGCTTTAAAATACATATTATGTACACTTGCGTTCAGGCCATTTCCAAATAAGACCTCTTAACCGACCTATCAACATTTTTTTTCAACAATCTGGTTTTTTTTTTGGTGTCATAAATTTCGGCCGAAGCATCAAAATACACACTCCACTTGACAGGCATGTAGGTGCTTATTCCAAAAGAGAAACCCAAGTTCTCACTGAAAGGAATAATACACGTTAATCCATTGCAGAGTTCTGTCCCTCTCAACAACTTTTACTTGTTGCTCCAAGCCATATATAATTCCCAAAGCCAGATGGACCTATTTGGTGTATTTTTCAGAAATTTACAAACAAAAGGAACTTTTGGTGTTTACGCTCTGAACCAACCAAACATTTGCTTGGCTAATAAAGAGCTGTACTCTTAGTCTGTGATTCCCCCGATGGGACGTCTGGCACCTTATACCCATGACGGTTTGTGGTGCCAAACTACACACCCTGACTATGGCATCTGACGGCAACTGTCCCTTACTGCTCTACAAGATTCAAGGTTGCAAACATCACATGAGAGCTGTTTTAATGCTCTCATAAAAACAATTATTACAACCATGTTCACTAGGGACAACTTGGTGAACAAAGCTATGAGAAGTATACACACACTCGATACTTGGTCTCACAACGAACAAAACCAGACTTACATTAGTCATTATACTGCCTTTGAATATTGGAACTGTACACAAACAGTCCAAGAAACAATTGGGCAGTTTGAGAATGTAATAGAGCAGAGTAAGAATTTTTCAGTCATGGAGTGGGACTCTTTAGCCGTGTGTTTTTCTATAGTGGGTGTTTGAGGTCAAGCAGACTGCATGCTCCAAAAAGAAGTTAGAGACGAGGAAGACAGTTGACTAGTTGCACAGCGCCCTATCATTGCAACACAGAAGTATATGAGATGCTTTTCAGATATCCAGAATGGATAGGTAACCAGAAGGTACGACTGGTAAAGATCTGAATAAATGAGAGACAGGAACAAAGACATAAGCAGATTGCTCATTAATTCTGGCTGACATAATGTCCATGATGAACTGGTCAGCCATGAACTTAAAGCTAAACCCACCTATTTGTGGACTTGCTCTTCCATGGGTCTCTTTACTGAGCATTGCTTGGGAAGTTGTTCAAGAACTGCCACTGTCCAGATTCTGTGACCTCCAACAACTCTTCTTGTTCAACTTTGATGCTCTCGCAGACATCATCAAACCTGCAGGGATGCAGCAGAAAAGGTCAGAGGGATCAATTTATTGGCCTTTCGAACATGACCTTGTTTTTGCCACATGCATCCCACTTCTGCCACCACTTCTTCATCTCAAAGCGACTACTGCCTCTAAGTTGTCACATCATTATCTCTGTCTTTGTTCTGCCCCTTATTTTTTAATACTTACTTGCTTCTTGTCACGGAGCTCTGGTTCATTAGCACGAGCGAGTCTTGCAGCGGTTTGCTTCCGAGGCTCTGCAAGGGTGTGGCTGAGCTGGAGCTGCTAACCGAGGATGACGAAGGCTGACGGCTGTAGTGTATGCTTGCCGTGCTCACCGGTGGAGAAACAGCATTATGCACTTTGTTAACCTGCGAGATGACAACACGGAGGGAAAAATGCACAAGTTAAAGGAGGCTGGAATCCGTGAACATGCAGAGGTTAACGTGTACTTAAATCTGATGACAAAGTGAATACTGTTGAAGCCAATGAGAGTAATCTGTTGAGTGCATGTAAACGTTTTAGGACTGGGGACTAGAGAACTTGGGGGAAAAACAATGCAACTACAGTACTGGACCGGAAGTAAACTAGATCCCAGTCTAAGAACAAGACTTACAGCGTGTTTAAGCAGCGTCCAGATATCCTTTTGCCTTTGGTGCTGGTGGGCGATCATCCGCTTCTCCAGGTTACTCATCTCGTCCACGCTGTTAGCGATTTGAGGAACCAGTCTTTCGGCCTCCACTTTGCACGATACCAATTTGCTACATTTGGAATCAAAAAGGAACAAGCATCAAATGGAGATCAGCTGTTCTGCAAAATAAAGGCTCACTGGAAATTTTACAGCTTCATGTTGTTACTGCATCCATTTTACTTGTGATACGCCAGCAAACTCACTTTAGGTGACCAAAGAGTTCCTTGGTCTGTTTATTTCTGTAGTTGATACTTTTGATGAGAAGGTTCTGCATCTTGGAGCTGTCTTGGAAGGTGCAACCTGCTTCACCACCTGCGACAGGAAACAAAGTGGAGAGATTAGGGGGAATGAAACCGTCAATTCACTCACTGATTGGAAGTGCCTTTGATGGTTGGATTTAACCACTGATCCAAGGGTAACACTGAGTACTTTGTGCAGACAGACTAAATACATGGAATGATCACAGTGTTAACCGTTACTTGAGTCCATGCTTCCTTTACAAAATGTTCGAAGATTTTAAGTTACTGGTGCTCTCGGACAGGTTCAAGGGTATCAACACACCATCCTCTGGGACTTAGAAACTTCAAAAAGTGAACTTGACAACTGCAGGAAGAGAGACAAAGAGGGATTTTTGAGCGTCCTTACTTTTACTTTGCTGCAGTTCACGATACAGCTTCTGGGCTGCTATATCACTACAGATGTAAAAAAGACAAGTGTGAACAATGTTAGAAAAAGCAGCTCTCGCCTAAGTTAGTTTGTAAAGCTCTCCTTTCAAACTGTTGTATAACGTGGGCCCAAACTGGGTTTAAGGATTCTGTATAAATGGTTACCTTGCAGGGAGGCAAAAGGTGACTATGGGTCTCTGGTGATATCACGCAGCTGCAATAGTGCGTTAAGGTAGAACAGCTGTAACACAAAATTCAACAGACTGAAGCCCCGCCCCATTGTTTTAACCAATCACAGCCATGATTTTTGTCCGGCATGCATGTGAAAAAGTCTGACATGTGTGGTTTGCCTGCGCATATAATGCACGTGGTTAGAACCTGTGATACAGCATTTGGAGAGCACACGTGCTAAGTACCCAAGTGCACGGTGGGCGGGGCTCACCGGATCAGTCTGCTGTGACGAAACTTAACAGAATGTCACAAGACACAAGAGCGACTCAGAGTTAAAAGTCTTCAAGTAAATCTTGTACAAAGTGAATCGATGGAAACCCTCAGCATGTTCCCACCTAAATTATATCTATCTCCTTCAGGATGCCAAACAGAGTGATATATCAAAACAAACAGCTCGGTATGCTCTTCTGAATGCAAACTAAAACAAAAGATTACCTGGAAAAAAAAATTGGCCTTCATCTCGTTTTGTGAGATCCGGTCACAATTCGAATAAATCACGCAACTTTTAGGCAAGAACTTTGCACAATGTCACAGTTAAGTCTTCCAACGTTTACTGAAGGCTTCCTGAGTATTTAATTAAATAACACTTGAATTGATCCGTGCATTAATGTTCATTAAACGTCCCAAGACACTCACACTTCTACGAGGCCTTCCACCTGCTTCTGCCTCGAAAATGGACTCTTCTGCAGCTCCACAATCTTAGTCTGCGTGATGTTGACCTGACCATTCAGGACGTACACTCTCCTCAACTGGAGATGAGAAAACCAAGCAAAAGAAAATTAAAGCTTCCCTGCTACTTTATACAAAATTTTCATCTTCTGCCCATTGGTTGATGTACACCAATCAAAAAAAACGTTAAGGGTCACTTTTTTCTTAATCAGTAAATTTTTTTTCCAAGCAATGAGTGGGGTCTAGTTCTTTCATTTTTTTTTTGTCTAGACCGTGTTCCCATTGGAATAAAAACTTCAAAAAAAGTTTCAAAACATCAAATGCACATTTTCAGCAATAAAATATCTCAGATAAAAAGTATATACAAAATAAGAAGTGGTCCTTAACTTTTTTGAGTAGTGTATTTGAGATGTTTTCAACTGATTAGTCCTTCCTTATTCATTAACAGGTTTTGTTTGTCTAATGACTGGCTCCGTGGAGGTCCTGAAACATCTCGGCAATGTAAAGCCCCGAAAGTTATTCCGTAACTAAAGAGGCTCACATGTTTTAATGTAGGACACACCTATAGGTCAAAATCTGTATGAACAGACTTACCGCATCGAAGTCTTCCACTATTTCTCTCTCAGCACTCTTCCAGCTGCGGAACATTTTCTCTGAGGCTGCAAGTTCAAGAAAAAATGCTATCTCTCACAAGAAGCTTTTAAAGATCATGTTCTGAATTTGCTCAAGTGCACAGAATACATCATCAATGCATGAAGAAGTTTTTAAATGTGCCACAAGTAACCACTTAAACAAAACGTTCAATTTCTTGATGGAAAGCCCTAATTTTGAAGGCAACTTTAATGACAAAACATAAATTCAATGAACTTGTGTAAAAATCTAAAAGAAAATCCGGAAATTTTTGGTTGAAAACTCCTGAAAATCACGGGCCCCTGTTTGAATCTACAGATCTCGAGGCAAGAACTTACTGATTCCAGTAGGGGACTGGACCGCGTAGGAATCGATGTCGAATTCTAGGCTGGAGCGGAACATGTCTTGCTTGGCTTCCAGCTTGTGCATTTGCCCCATCATGTCCTTGTGCAAGCCAGTCAGCTGATGGTTCAAGCGCATGATGCACAACCTGCCAGAGTTGGAATGAATTCGGGTCAACCATCCCGCTCGAATCACAATGTTTGCTGACTTGACTAACTTGAGTCTCGATGAGTATTACTAAAACTTGACTCCACCAGGTCACTGCATGCATGCTTGACCTGACTGGAGTCTGTTTGAGTCCAAGGACAACAGACATGGGGAAATGACTCTCCTCACGTCACAGCAAGCATCTTATTCAAATTCTTCGCGTCACAAATTCATTGACAACAAACAAAACAACCTCATAGTTTTCGACAACAAAGCATATTCTCATTATTCCCAACACTACATGGTAGAAAATGGTTTATTCTTTGTGGTAAAGTTGCTTTCCGAAGCCACTCATTTACGGAAATACGTGATGGTAAAGCAGTTACCTGTCCTAATAACTAAATCTATTATGCAAATCAGTTTGATAGACACTGTTGTTTCCGTATTAGCAAAACTGCAATCAGATGGCGTACATACAAGGACAAGGTCCAATTTGTAAAAGATGAATTCCACAGAACATTGGGGAAAAATCTGCAAACAGATGTATTTTTCGTCTGCTTATGTGCATCAGTCAAATTCATAAAAGCGACTTCAAGACTTCTCTAGATCAATGTAGGTCAATCTAATGATCTTACATTGAAGCCCTAGCACCCTCCAATAGCCTGGATGCCTCTCTGGCCTGCTGGCTGCAGAAGAAGACAGCCTGGCCCCAGCATTTCTTCCTGTCATTGTAGTTGAGCAGCGTCTTCGGTTCCTGGACTGTTAAAAACAATTGGAGTGATTCAACAGTGCAGCAATTCTGCTAGAAACAATTAGCATGGACGCCCATACTGCATGGATGCATTCACTTACTGATCATGTTGACTCGATCTGGTTTCGGTTTTGACGGCAAGGTCTCTGGAACGTTACCCCTGTGGAACAGGAACATCATGAAACCTGGCTGGTACTGTAAAGCAACAAACATTAAAAAAAATCCCATTTAAGTAAAGGCTGTTAACTCTTCAGAGCTCATTTGGAAAGAAAGCATTCCGTAAGTTTTCACTCATGAGGTAGTATTACCGATGTTTGTAGGAAGTGGCTGCAGTCACTGACTAGCAGCTACTGTTGGTGTCTATACTGTCCCTAGCCATAGCTACTCCATTTCGACACAGATTGAGAGGTTAAGCTTCCTGCAGCCGATTTCACGAAACGTGGTGTAACTTTGAACCATGCATAAGCCTTGCGAGACAAATTTATGCCATAGCTGTGTAATATACTCACATTTGATTTCACAAGAAGTTGCATAGCTGCACCATGTTTTAATAATATCAAATTTCTTGGACGAGGACAAAAATGGTTTTTACGATGGCTGTTCTTGTCCAATATAACAACAGTCATCAAACAGTCATTGAATCACCTCCGCCCGCCATTTTGAAAACGTTTTCATCTTTTCTTCGTTTTCTCACAGCCAAACCAATTTCTTATTTCTTTTCAACAAAGTGTTTGTCTCTCGTATAAGCCTTGTTAGGTTCAGCAATGATGAGGCATAACCAAACATGATAAGCTGGTCAAATTGATCATTTTTGCTTTGTTTGGCTTGAGTTATGCCACCTAAAATAACTGCGTAAGTTACGCAATAATTTGTCCCGTAAGTTGCAGACTTATGCAGTGTGTACGTTTTGTGAAATCGAATTTACTTTGCTGTGCAACTTATGCAGTAAAATGTTGCGTACGTGGAGTTAAGCCATTGCTAAAGTTTCGTGAAATTGGCTCCTGGTCTGAATAAAAATGAGATTGTCTCTGAGAGTCGTGGCTGCAGCCAGGTAAACATGTGGGCCCCTTTGGAAGCCAATAACAGTATTAAGTTATCCATGTCTCATCAGCACGTATGTTACTGCCCGTTATCAGAGTCAAGATGTTTGTACAAACCAGTGCGGCATACAGACTTCCGTACCAATCTTGCATCATTAACCTCTCCTACCGGTAGAGGGTTTGCATGGCTGCCATTTTGTAGGCCAGTGCTTTTGTTCCAGGGGTATATGCAAAGGAGGTTTTCTTGAGGAATAAAAGAACTGTACTGCAAGATAGCAGCTACGGTAAGTTCCTGCCTGATTCCAATGATTACCTTAAAAGATTTATGCAGAGGTTTTTGAACACCTTTAGAACTGAATATTCTTTCATTTTCAGCTCAATGCAGCTTTCTTTAAGCTTGTGAGATAAATTACCGTGAACAGGAATACTTGGTTTCATCACCCAAAATGCACAATACTTAGAAAAAATCAGCCGCTACCTCTCGGGTCATACCTACCTCTCCCTGGGTGTAATGGACAGCCAATTTGGTCGCATCCACCGATTGGCCGGTGGGCAGGAGGATGTCTTGCTCGCTGACTGGAACCCCAGTGTCCTTCTCCAGCTGTTTGTGTATACAGCTGATGGTGTCCACGTCACGAATGGCGTAGTTATACAGCGTGTCCGTGTTCATGTACAGCACGTTGACCACCTGCGTGGGTGTGAAACAGAGAAAGAGAAATTCTCTAATCGGTCACTTCAAGCACACATGAGGGCAGTGTTTGTTAGTCTGGAGCAGAGCTGTTTACAGAGAGTTGCTACATGAGCATCTCAATTGATGGAACCAAAACAGTGGATTGTGTCAGTGCACATGAACAATCAGCACACAATACCTGCATGCTGTACTGCACTCGTAACAAACAGCGATTTTGGTTTCAAAGTCTGACGCTGGCCCTCCTGTGTCTATATATAGATATACATCTCTGGTCTGGAGGCAACGCATTCATGCACGCTGCAGTTAGAAGCTGCTGGGTACCAGTTCACCTTTTAAATAGTTTTGAATGGAGAGCTGGAAGTTGGCTTTGTCTTGGTTTATTCTGGTCAACTGAAATATGCTGTACTGGCCCAAGTAACTGACCTGCCAGGCCTGTTACTAACGGAAGCCTCCCACAATGCAATGCAAAAACATTGTAGTTTGGTTTAGCAATGGTAGTCAAAAAAGCTGTTACATGTAAGGCACATTGACACAATGTAAAATACGTGAAATCAAAGCCAGAAATGTGTGGATATATGTTGCTTTCAAAAGTTCAACTTCATTTCGCAAATTTAATCTCTAATACCTCAGTTGGGGCACTTTGCGTAACCCAAGATGGTTCGTTTACTATACACGTATGAACTGGCAATGAGATCACTAGTGCACGTCTATGTCCACACCAGTCTGTGAGTGACTCACAGGCCCAAGGGGGCATAGGTGTGCACTAGTGACCAAATTTGGCTAGTCTATATATATGTTTATAACACACCTCAAATGGAAAACTATTCTATCAAGGTTTTAACTGTTTACATTCAACTTTTCACTCAATACCATTTCAAAAATTGCAAATATTGAACGGTTCATTTCAGTTTTCACAGACGTAGTCTAATTTTGAGTCGCTGTATACAACTAGGAAAATAATCTTCCAAGGGTTTTAACTGTTTCAATTCAATGTTTTGAAATGAGCCATGGCAACCTCCAGACAGCACAATAACCAGTCAAAAATTTTCAAGACTATTGCCTGACCGGGCACTAGTCTCTGGAATTGATGCGTGCGCAATGTCTAGGCGTCGAGTCAAGCTGACATCAAATTCATGTACAGGCACTAACTTGTATTAGTGAACCACACATTACCATATTTCAGCCAACCAGGATAAAGAACCAGGACGAGGTGTGTTATAGTATCACCTATTGCTCATTCTGGCTTAAATCTGTGACGACATCAAGGGTGAGTGTGAGGAAAGAAATCAGACGCGCTATTTCCGTGGGAAGCACTCACATGCATGGCTATCATCTTGTCCAGGAAGGCAAAGCACTGAGGCCGTTGCGTTGCCGGGTCCTTGCTTCCTCCCCGCTGGTCCGGCTCAAACTTCAGCATGGTCCGCAGCAGCATCTCAAAGCAATTCTGGTAGATCCTGCCAACAGCGTAATCAAAGGGCATTATCTGGAGTCCTGTTATCTGTTCCCTGCTCAAGTCTCACTTTCACGGAGACAGACACAGAGGCTTGCGTGAAAAGTAAATGTGACAGGTGCAAAGATGATATGTCTGCGTATGCTAGACACGCAGAAAAAATGCACGAACACCGAGAAGGTTATCACCGTAAGGTAAAACATATTCCATCTCATCTTTTCATACACAGTGCCTATAAAGAGATATAGGTCTCTCTGATGATATCACACTTCTTACTGATTGCCACGTGCACTGGCATTTTTACTTCAATTTTTGTGACGCGAATCGCGCTGCATCATATTTCGAACATGTTTGGATCAGTACGCAAGCTATTTTAGATAAGATTGCACACTGCGCGCGCACACACCTACTGGCGTTGTGTGCGCAGTTGCCACATTCCTACAAAGAAGGCGTCTGATGAGAGCGATGCATGGATGAGTTAAGCAACTAGGACTAAAAACCATTATCGTGGAGGAATCACACTCATGACTAGGTCATTTGTCTACATTTAATCTGCTCCGAGAGGAACAAAAGAGGGTGTGTTTTTCTGGTACTCATGAGGCATGCAAGTACATGCGCGCTTGACGTGGAGCACGCTGAGTACGCGTAACTAATTTACTCCGGCACGTATGGTCTTTGCTACATGCAGAACGCGTGCAAGAACCCGCTTGTAACCACCTGTCTTTCTTTTTGCCGATTGGGGTGCACTGAAGGTCGGGGCGGATAGTGTGAAGTGACTCATTAATGTACCTGCCCAACTCAAGTTGAACAATGCGCACTACATGCAGGTATGGAATCAACATTAATGGCATCTCACTGGATAAATATACACTGGCAATCACAAAATTACACACAATCACGTCATCTTCGCAGGATAAAAGCTAACAAAGTGCCCACTGCTTGTGAATTTGAAGCCTGTTTACTAAAATATCTTACTGTACTAAGTGGTTTGGAGTGAGCAGGTACTCTGTGAAGATTGGGGCACCTGAAACCAAAAGACAAAATACTGTTAAGAAAAAAAGCGTAAAAAAGTATTGAACATTACATTAAGTGTTTAAATGCATGCATATTTACGGGACCCATCTTCTTATTTTGGTTGTGAAATGTACTCAAAGCTATATCCAACTTTTTATGCAGTTTCAAATATGGGCAATTGTCATTCCATTCTTTCTGAATCCACAAAGCATCCTCCACCTTTACGCACACAATATTTAAAGTTTTGTCATACAACCCTTCTCCTACCGTCTTCATTGATGTAGGCACAGATTTCCATGTCGGTCTTCTGTTTCACTGTACCGTGCCTACGAAGAAACCAAATTGATCATAAATTGTTCAAGTACCACGTACGCAGCATGAAGACGAAGGTTGAAACTGCAGTCGGGTGTCAGACATTTTCTGACCACTGACATTGTTTGCCTGAATAAAAGTTGATGACACATTACACAACAGCTTAGCTGACCTTGACAGAGAGTAAACAAAAATAGATGATGTCTGAACACTCTTTATCTTTAATCTAACCCTCTGTTAACATTTACAAGGTCAACAAACCTTCAGTCTGTTACAATTTTCACTGCTTCCAAGGATACGACACGGATCACAGATTTATCCCTAATCCACTCAAAACTGTGAAAAAACTTACATCCAGTGTAAGACTACCTTAGAACCCTAGCACTGTATAAACGTTTTGTGAAACTGCCTGTACTTAAGTCCCATGTTGGATGAATAATTTAGTGTACCATTTAACCGGTGGCATGTGTGGTAGGAATGGCCGGCTACCGGTGATGCATTCAAACAACACTGTGCCCAGTGTCCAGTAGTCAACGGTTTGGTTGTACTTCTGTGAGGCAAAAAGTTCGGGTGCCTGGACAGGAAAAACGACAGTTCACTGGGATGGTAAGAAATAGACAAATTGTGGTCTGACTTTGACCACACTCAATCAACTACAATTCACTTGTTTTCTTGGTATTTTTGCTACATTTTTTTATTTTTACAAATCTTCCAAACTCCTCTGTTGTGCAGGAAACCAATGGTACATTCTTTGTACTTCAACTTGGACAAGGGATCAAGCCCCATAGGTAAATAGTGGCTGGGCTCTACCTTCCTCAAACCCGCAAAGTCTCCAAAGAACCTCCCAAAGAACTTAAAAGCATACGAAATTGCTGCCTGTAATTGTTGTCAGAGAGCACTCCTTAGGCCATTGGCTAACCCTGGAAATTGACATCTAGATGAGGAATCATCTTCATATACAGAATACTCCTCAATCCTGTAAATTGCAGGGACATTTTTTCAAAGGGCTACACACTCTAATTGTAAACGTTAGCCTGTCCATTGAGTTGACTGCTCTATCCAGCGACAGCAACAAATAACTGACCACAGTTAGATTTGTAAGCCGCATTTAGCGGAAGTGGGGTTAATGCAGAATTTTTTTCAGCAACATACCAGATATTGGAGGGTTCCAACAAAGGTACTCGCTACGCTGCCTTGGTCCAGGTCTTTGGCATAGCCCAAGTCGGTCAACTTGTAGATAAACTGAACAGAGCATGTAAAGAGAATTGATTTCAAAATTTTAAGTTCACAGGCTTTCTCAACACAACAGTGAGTCTTAAAACTGCAGTCAACAATGGTTATTTCTATCCGATCTAGTTATCTATTGACTTTTCTGTGAGGCAATAACTTATTCTGGGTTCATTCACTGATCTTTTTACAACACGGTGTTTGTGTTTTGTTCACTGTTACAACTATCCTTTGGCCCAATTTGGGTGCCCTGTTTCAGAAGAGAAAGAAGCAAAGACTAGCTCCGTCAGCACCTGTCCATTTTCATTCTCCTGTATGACGATGTTCTCAGGTTTCAAGTCTCGGTGAATGATGCGCTTGGAATGTAGGTACTCCACACCGTCAAAGACGTGCTTGGCTATTTGAAGCACCTGCTCTTGTTTCAAGCCGCAGCAATTCTCGGGTCGGCAGAGGACCTGCACAGCAGAGGAACACAAAAGCCTCAAGACAACTTCACCTGAACGAAATATATACATGACCATTGACTCACAATGGCATATTTTGCTGGAAACCCTCTTCGATTCTCCAAACTCTTTATGGGCTTGACCTTGTTCAATTTTGCAATCTTCTCCAAAACTACTATATGGGTTCTGAAGGAGGAACAGAGAAATGCAGCATGTAAGTTCACTGGTGCTTCAACAAATTCTTGTTAATCTTCTGTGCATCAAGCATTCGACATACCATGTAGGTCTACTTGAGATTGGAGCTCAATGTTTAGATACACCTGTCTATCTTTACCTCCACACAGCTACTGATTTGTTCCTGAATGATAGCCCAGTTAAGGCAAAGTGTCTTGCCTCAAATCAGTAGCTGTGTCCACACAGCTACTGATTTGTTCCTGAATGATAGCCCAGTTAAGGCAAAGTGTCTTGCCTATGGACACATGCAACATATGCCCATAATGTAAAAATGCTAACTTTGTTTCAGATATACTGTTAATAGTCTTGCAGTTGCCTTATCCAGACATATGATGTTCCAGTAACCTAAACAAAGTGACTGAACAGCAAAAAAACCTTCCGCAAGTCTCCCCTCCGGCAGTACTCCATGCCCAATAGGGGGAGCTCCCCGTCTCCAAGCTGCAGTTCCGCAGGCACCTCTTTAGCCTCCACAATGTGCTGGTGCTTCAGCCGCTTCATGATGTCGATCTCCATGACCCATCGCTTCTTGTTCTTGGCGTCCAAGGTGACCCGGCACTGCTTTAAGGCCAGTTCCTCTTTGGAGTCCTACACAGACAGCAAGACGAGACTTGTGTCACGAGTGTTTGTACTGCATTCTCCATCTTAGGCCATTGCTTGTCTCAATGAGGCTTTCTTGGTAAAATGGTTATCGTGTGCATGCACGGCAGAAATGTGGGTTCAAACCCTAACAGATTTACTGGTGTTTGTACTCTTGGGCAAGATACTTTACTAAAACTGCTGGCATGAAGTGGTTGCAATGTACACTGGGTAGTAATGCGACTTTCTGCAGATCTAGCACTGACAGATGTAATTGATACTGAAGGCCCTTCCCGAAGATTTACACATCCTGCTGCAACTAACTATAACATCAATGAGGATTAAGGTTAGGCTGTGTCAGACTTGCCTGGCTGAGGCTTAAAATTATGCATGAAATTATGGTAGTGGCCACAGCCAATTCCCATAGACCCATGTGTAATTTCAAGCCTAAGCCAGCTGATTTGGATGCGCCCTTAGTTAAAATCACTTGAAAGGCTGGCGGGTTTGAAGTGTGGAGAAGCTTAGTTCGTACAAGAGTTCCATATGATTTGGAAGTAGCCACATTCAACTTACTTGGCTATGGCTCCCTATGAGTTATGATCCTATAGAAGAAATGTAGCCAAACTGTTCCGACAGTACAGTTGTCAGATGAAGATGTTGGGCTGTGCTTACCTTATGCTGCCATAAGACGACTGTACCAAAGCCCCCTTGTCCAAGGGTTCCCTTAGACTGCCAACTGCCAATCTCTTTCACGGCAGTCGCCATTATAAATCTGCCAACAGAGCAATAACACCACAGCAAGAATGAGAACTGTCATTGTTTTTCAGGCAATAAAACAAACCCTAAATAGCGGGGAGTTCTTTCTGGAATTTGTGTACATTTCATAAGTTTTCGGCCCGAGACAATGACTGTGGGTGCCACTGAAATCTCCTTAGCTTGCCTTTGATTGTTTACATAAACTTTGAGAAGCCAACAGACATGACAGATGGTTATAGAGGGATCTTGTTGAGTCTTTACCAACATTTTTGGCACCTTTTGACATGTTTGGGGGCTCGGTACATCAGCAAAACTGCCCTCAAAACCAGGCTTTTTACTGGGGCGCTCGAAGCACCTGCAGTCATGGTATTAGGCCTATTACTAAATCTGTGTCAAAAATCATAAAAAAGAATACAGTCAGTGTCCAAGTGTTCAGCCATTTGCTTTTTCTTTCTAATTCTAGAATTGTTTCAAAAACGAAAAGTTGGAGATTTCATGCAGAATCAACCAACATGGCCAATCACCACATTGGGGGCCAAACCACAATCTAGCAACATCCCTTGTTTCTGCTTATGTCGCTTGTTTAAGCTGCAATGATGTCATTATTATCACATCACGTGATAATGATGTCATTTTCCTGCAAGATTTTGGGCAAATAAAAGAGATTTGAAACGCCAGCAGCCAACATGGCCGCTGTTGCCATGACATGTACATTTTGTACAAAATTGGCAAAATTATTTCCAATCGCTATTTGAAAATCACCATGGTAAACATAAAATTTGCCACGGTTAATCGATGGAGATTTTTAATGGCAATTTATATACATAAAATAAACTTCAGCAAAGCTTTTTTTTTTAGCAAAACCATTTTCATCTGCAGATTGAACTCAAATACCCAACGAATTCAACACCTCCACTGCACGATTCCACTGAAAAATCTTCTCGATCTGCTTTCAGAGATAAGAAATGAAGGGAAGTTTCCTTTTGATCTCAGGTAGCATGTTTCCTGTAAATTTGATTTATCAGAGCAATTTGTATTGACGTTTTAGGCCAATAAAGAGATCGATGCAAACCATGATCTAAAAATAATTCAAAATTACGTCATCATCGCATAAACGAGTGGCATATGCATAGTTTACATGGTCTAGCATCGCAGCTAGATTGTGGTTTGGTCCCCGACCTGATCACACATCACACAGACATGACAGACAAGACTGACTGGGCAATCTGGCCATCAACTGATTAAAATATTGGCAAAAATATAACACAGTCAGTGCTCTTAATTTATCTTATTGCCAAACTTTCGCTGACTAGGTACCTTCTTCAGGGCAAGCAGATTCAGTTCTAAATCAGAACTAAATCAAGCAGTCATGGCAATTCCAAGTAGAACTTGGTTTTTCAAAGTTTCTGTTAGTGTTCTTACACAAATTCAGAACTGAATCTGCTTGCCCTGACAAAAGTACCCACTTACCGAAAGCTCGGCAATAAGATAAATTAGCACTGACTGTATTTATTTTTGCCACTATTCTGATCAGGGTGCTATCTGGCTATGCAGCCCTTTCTATTCCATCAACTGATCAATGCAGATTAGCCATGTTAGCCACGCCCAACAAATGAATGATATTTGTCGTAAAAGCTGTGCAACTTATGCACGTCAAGCCTACCTGAAGACTTCAGTTGAACCACACCTTCACCTAACTTGTAAGCTGGCAAACAAGATGAGCTGAAGACCATACAAATTTAGCCCACAATAATTTATCAGTGAAAATTCGAGAGCAGTAATCAGTGATAATCACGCCATTTTGCCACATCTGATTCATTACAGCATCGACACATTGATGTAGAATTCAGTTTCTTGTTTTGATCAAATTTTGTTCAATAGGAGTTAATTCAGCAACGTTTATTTCACCGGTTCAGGTTCTCGTTGTGCTAACCAAATCGTTCAATCATGGCAATTTCCAAGTAGAACCTGGTTTTTCCAAGTTTCCGTTGGTGTCCTCACACAAGCTAGCTATTCATCTTCACGTCACTCTGCAACTGCAGGGACCAGCGAATATTTTGCGGAAGTCACCGCACTCTTCACACGCACCAGTTTACATTACGTCATTCTAAAAATAGATTGTTGTTTATCCGTCTTTAGGCATTGTCATTTATGAAAGAATTTAATCAAAGAAAAAAAGCCTATCAAAAAAACTAAAGGAAAAAATTACGAATATTAAAGACCCAAATAGAATGTTTTGATAAACTTAATAAAAATTATAAGAAAAAATTATTATAAAAATGTAATTTATTTTAAATATCTATGTTTTGTCGTTTTCAAGATGGCAGCGCCCATGACGAAGCAGTGTGAACGTACACGTTGGAGCAACTTAAGTTTATAATTTTGTTTGTAGTCGTAATTTTCTGGTAAAGACGTAATGATTTTTATAATAATGAATACTTTCTGTTGTTCCTGTTGACAGAGTTATGGTAAATTTTGGAGGTAGTTCTCTCCGAACATGCCGAAGTGTTATTCTTCGTCTACGTAATGTTGTAGGCCTACGTCTACACTTTTTGCCTGTGCCTGCGCCTACATCATGTTGTGCATGTTACTGGCTGACACCTGCGTCATTGACGTTGGCTCCTCATGTACGTTCCAATGCTGTCAAAGCCGTGCATCCTTCATGCCCTATTTGTATTTCAACATGTTCAAGACAGAGCCTCATCACTGCTGATGTGCAGAAAACCCAGTTAGGCCTAAGGCATGTAAGGCATTTGTCGCAGTACGTGCAAGGTGTCAGGCACCTACAAAAACTCAAGGAAAATGAAGATTTTTGCCGAGGGTCATGGACTGAGGGAAAGTTTGCAGTATTGTACGATCTTAGGCCTCTTCTTGTGCCTACAGGAGAGAGAAAACCATGGAGAATAGCCTGGAAAAGTGCAAAAGGTAAGTAGATTGAGAGGTTCAGCAATTGCTATATTGCTAACATAAAACACAGGTATGACAAGCTTTTCTTTTCCTACAATTTTGCCAACCAGGTGTATTAAAAGTTAAGAATAGAACTATTTTACTAGCTTACAGTTGATGCTTTCAAACTTGAAATACTGGTACCAACCTGTATGAATTGATAAATTGTATTGTTATAGTAAGACATTTTTGTTAAGCTTTTTTCCCTTGAGTTGAGAGTTTGTTGACTCAGACTTAATACTAAGTCTCAGAATGTTAAATTACCGTTTCTCTGTTTTGTTTTCAGATCTTTCTGAATTTCTCAAAGAAGATTTCCACACAGAGGAATCAGTAGTTCTGAACTGCAACATTTTGGACCCACGTGGCCCACCCAAGTTTGCTGTCAACATTTTGCCCAAGTCAGAGCCAGACCACCGGGAGAAAATTGAGAGAGGACTTGGTGCTTCGGCTGTCAGTGGCAGAAAAGCCTTTTTTGTAATTTCCAAGACCGATGCAAGAATCCTGGCCCAGGTGTGCCATGCTTTTAGCTTATTCTCTGCCCCAACCCTCTCAGACCCATCAAATCCACTCTGAGGTTGGCCAGGATTTCATTTCCAGGATTAAGAATGGTAGAGCCCAGCCGCTGTTAGTTATTAAACTGACCAGGTGCCCATTGGAGGATTTGAGTACAAGAAGCGCATGCATGTCATAGCTTTTTTGCACTTTGGTAGATTTTGGAAGAGTGAATTTATGAGATTTTTTTACTATACATGTAAGTATAAACCAAAGCGTTGTCCCCATAAAGTTCTATCGTTTTCCTCGAAGCTTTTATTAGACTTATGATTTCAACAACAAAATTGTCCAACATAGATATTTAAAGTTTCTACGAAGTAAGCCAAACAAAACTGATGTTTATGTATCAATGTTTTGAATGATAATCTCCACAGTGTATTCCTCTTCTACAATGGCACCTCAGGAGCCGGTTTTGTTCCAACTGTGGTGAGCTGACAGCTAAAGATCCATCTGGATCAAAGAGGACTTGCCCAAAATGCAGCACCATTCACTATCCAGTTGTAAGTGTCTAGTCAGGGGCGGGAACATAAATCTGAACGCTTGAAAGTGGGTGAAAAGTTGAAACAAAAGGCAGTGGAATGAGGCATTAACTGATCAATCTTTCATTTCACGGCATTTTGGCAGGCATCACCCCCTTACTTTCAAAACACTTCCGCACAGCATCACAATTTTTTGGAGATTAACATTTATGCATAAATAGCCCCTCGCTTCTGACCAAAGGCAGCACTTTAAACTGGTTGGTTCATTTCGTTTGTGTAGCTCAGTCCAGTTGCTATCGTGCTCGTGACCAACGGCAACAGCTGCCTTGTGGTGCGACAGCCGCGTTTTATGGCAGGCATGTACAGTGCCATTTCCGGATTCCTCGAGCCAGGTAAAAAGCAAGCTGTTGCAAAAGAATTACCAGAACATTCACGGGTGACTCCGCAGTCTTGATAGCTAAAGCATGAACAGCCACTTGCATGCCCCCTGAGTATGTAGGCTCCGTGTATTGGAACAGGTCTCTTCTGTCCGACTGAGTCAACACTTGAATTTCATCAACAATATGCACCCGACACCTTATGCGCCCATTTACATTACCGTAATCATACGCACATCGGCACCATAGTTGTAGACTATACACATGTGTTGGTGAAATTTTATTTTCTAGGGAAAAGGTTGGACCAGGTTGTAGGAACTTTTGTGTTCCAGTAAACATCCCTAGGGCATGAGTATAATCCCAACAACTGCAGATCACAAATTTGTTAACTTCCATTTGAGCACACTGAGCCAGCACCAGCTCTGTAGACGCTTTGTAACTTCCCATGCCACCTGCGGATATCATGAGAGTGAACGTCTGTAATTTGTCCTTGTCAGGAGAGTCTTTGGAATCTGCCGTCAGACGAGAGGTGGCCGAGGAGGTGGGCCTCGAGGTGGAGGAGGTCAAATTCTACTCGTCCCAGTCCTGGGCCTTCCCCCTCAGCTCTCTCATGCTGGGATGTCATGCTTCCCTTAAGCCGGGAACCAGCGACAAGGTGAGGCAGTCCGTGGTGGGGTTGTATTGTCAAGACTTCTGTCTCGAGTCTGACTTTGGGTCAGCATCAACGGTACAATTTTGTATGAACAAAGCAGTGACCGAGTTTTGCACTTACTTCGTCACCAAAAAGTGCACTCTGCTGTTGCTATAACAGACTATGTTTAACTTTAACTGCTGCCAGAAATATTACATGTATCTATAGGAAATACATGAAGCTGCAAGCTTGTGCTTTCATAGGAAAAAGGATTGTTTTCAGCCATAGCCAATTCAATTGGACAAGCCATTAGCTTCTCTTTTTGTATTGGCAATTACCATGTAATACAAGGAATAAAACAGGACTCAGGAAATACACAATGTTTATAGAAATCATCAAAGTGGAACGTAAATGTGTTCTTTGGTCCTTTCAAAGGTTTCCCTCGACGAGGCAGAGCTTGAAGACTCAAGATGGCTTCATCGGGAGGAGGTGCTCACAATCATGGAGAGAGGGAGCCCCAAGGGAAGCAGCATATGGCTGCCACCTGCAATGGCGATTGCTCACCACCTTCTCAAAAGCTGGGCTCTGGAAAAGAATTGAGATGGCAGATAATCCAACATCTTGCTGTTGTAGGAAGACATCATTACTTTCTCTTAATCACTGTCAAGGGAATATCACAGACATGTCTAAACTTCACACATCAATGTATCCATCCATGTGAATCCGCCTAGGGCTGAAGTACCCCCTCATTGGTTGAAAAAGAGCGATGTTTTTCAGCAGTGCATGCCTTTCATAATTTTTTTTTTGAACTAGCGAAGTGCAGTTCCTAGGAAAGGTACATCCTCTCTTGGTCATGCCCGGGGCTCATAATGTTTAGACTTCATCCTGCTCAAAGCAGATTCATGCATTTGCTTCCCATGCCCAATTTGGTAGGAGAGAATGCTGTGAAGCTACTAAACAATTCGTCACAAAACGTGGAGCAGTCTCCACCCAAAAAAATTCAGAAATACACCACAGGTTTTGCTTTAAAAGTCTTTTTTGTAACATTTATTGTTGTCACTCCTGAGATTCGTCCCAAGTATTACGACTGCTAGATGGTTACCATGGCTACCACCGCCTTATGACTACAAAAAGGAACAATGTTGAAAAACCCATGCTGTTGGACAAAAGTGTTTAGACATTACCCAACACTTCAGGTGCTTTATAGTCCCAAAAGTTGGACATCAATCGTCCTTCAAACTTACTCTTCCCTTATCATTTTCTTAGAAAAAAATGGATACGCCACAGAAGGCAAACGGTGTCTTTCTGTCAAATTTACATTTTAATCTTTACACATTAAAAAATCACACCGTTCACATCCCCACCCAAGCAAACTGTGACGTCAGTGGCAACCTCAAATACCGACTTATCAAAACTGTACAGCTATCAATGTTAAAGCTGACCCGCTCTACGAAGAGGAATTTTGTAGGCAATTCTGCCCTGATTGTGTGAGTCGGAGAAATCCGCCCCAGTCAACCTCCCGGGGCGAAATGGGGAAGGCAGGCACAGCCTCGGCCAGCTCCATTTTGCCTCAAGGGGTTGACTGGTTCTAACCTCACGAGAGGGGCAGCTGAAAAAAAAAATCTATTCACATCGTTAATTTTTTAGTGCATTTTGACTACTCCCAAAAAGAACCTAATACTACTAGGATTTGGCTTTGGAGGAGGGGGAGGATATGTAGACAATTTCAGGGGTAAATTTCAACTACAGTAAGCACAGTGATGGAACCTACCTGACACAGGATTTTCCTACTAACAAGCCTGATCGAATTTGTACACTTTTTTCAACAAATAATAAATAAAACTAGGGAGAATAATGCTTGGTATTCAACTTGTCTACAGGAACCTAATTAGTTACTTGTTTGGAAATCTACAACTGTGTAAGCTGCCTCTCTCGTTTGGTTCAAATGAGGAATTTGTGCAGAAATGACACATCATATTTACAAGTGCATTGGACTTCTCTCTCTCTCCAACCAAACTGGACAGAATTTACAGATCCAAATATTGTTTTTGGTTTTTTTTTCCAGAACAGCATGGGTAGTTGTTCGGGAATTCACAAGGCGTTGGCAGTGTTGTAGTTTATTCATTAGATTAACCTTAATATTTCAAACGTTATCTTGTACAGAAAAGAGACAGGTAACCAAAAGAAATGAGCTATGTCATTAACCATCAAAGCAAATTGAGCAACATCAACTTTTACCTCACCATGGCGATTAAGATTTGAAAAAAAAAAAGATGTAAAACACTTTTTCTCACTGCAAGGAAAAAACCTAAGATTGATTCACCTGACACAAAGAAGTGTTTAGGTACAACCAGGCTGTACACAACAAATAAATTTCTAATGGTGTCACCCCCGCAAAATGGAACATGCCTAATCTTTCATTGTATCTGGACTGTTCCACTGTCCACCATAGGAGTGTGAATCTAACAAAGGCTACCACTGCTATACAGGCCTACATTTATTTGCTACATCAAACACACAAAAGTTTATAAATAAAAAAAAAATTAAAACTTCCTGTCCCACGAACAGCAAGACAGAAAACGCACACTCATTTCCCTTCAGTTAAATCAGAGACTTTTTGGGACTGGATTATTCATGTCGAAACCAAAAAGAGACTTTTCATTCTGTGGGAAAGCATACAGAAGCTAGTTGGCCAATCCAATATCTACATGTAATGTACACAGGCCAGGAAAGTCTACAAAAATTCCATCCTTCCCAAGTCAAGATAATTTTTGTTTCTTTGTTCAACAGAGCTCTTTCTATCCAACCACATGCAATCTTGGTCTTCATTCCAGGTGATAATTACTCCTCACTTAGTGCCCAGTCAGCACAGTGTACATTAAAAAACCCAGAGAACATAAAACTGCTGAGATGAAGACTGATTCAATCAAGGCGATCCAAGAGATTAAAAGTAAAAGATTTGGACCCCGCTAGTCCAGATTTACAACTGGTAATTATGACGAGAAGATGGGCTCTATGCATTTCTGTTTATTAGCAATAGAGGGATCCCAATACGACGCTTTTAACGTCGATCTGCGCACTTCCGCGTTTGAAAACGAGGCTGTATGTGTCAGCTTCAATTCTTAATAGGATCAGATGATTGAAAGTAAGGAGTTAAGACACAAAATACATAAAGGT